AGTTTCAGCATAACTGTGGTCTATTCCCTTAAATTTCATAGTATCCTGAATGCTGGGAGCTGTAAGGGAAGATAGGCAGAAACCAGAACAGTCTCGACAGGTCCTGCATATACACTCTTTCCATTGGTGTCCATTCTCTGCCACTGAGAGACACAGGATAGATGTATCTGGGCTGGCTGAACCTGTGGTCTGACCCAGGAAAGTGCTTCTTATGTTCTTATTTTTTTTGTTAATAGCCCTAAGTTATGTAGTCACGAATTAGGAATATTTTTAAAGATGTTTCTTTCTCATGATTTTAAGGAGAAGCTTAAAACATGACCTATAAAAGCTCTAGAAAGCAGAAGGCTAATAATCATAATCATCATAATATAAATCAATTTTAAATGTCATTATTTTAAAGCTTAACTCACAGTTTTTTTAGTGTCTGACTCATTATTTTTGAACATTTGGGACTGGCAATACTGCAGATTAGTGGGTCTACAATAGTGTAAATTGAAAGAGGCAAATTAATGTTAGCATGTATGCTGCTAAAAGCAGCTTTGATTGAATTCTGTCTGCAGAGAAATAAATTGGTTGAAGATTCAGTAACAAGAAGTGAAATGATTAACTCAGAGAAGGAAAGTATTGCAGCAATTCTACTGGAGGAATAAGGGAACTTTTAAAAGTATTTTTGCAAAATGTATAAGATCTTTCTCTAAGTCTAAATGTTTTAAACAGAAACCAGGCTTAGCTGCTCAGTACTTGGCTTCAATTCTAATTACATTCCAATAAATTCTGAGATTGTAGCTCTTGTGCTAACTTTCCAGGGTAAGCAGGTATATGAGAAAGAGATCAAGCAATGACAGTGTACTGAATGAACAGTACAGAAAAAGAAAATGAGAGACTATGTTCTTACCATATTGGAAGAGAAGAGACAGTATTTCTCTCAAAACATAAGACAGGGAATTTATAATGAAAAGACCCTGAAATATATTTAGGTGGGAGACAACTGGTTGGAGGAATTTACTGCTACCAGTTACTGAAGCTGAGGGCTTTGTAGCATTTGCTTGGCTAGTAAGAGTATTCACATCTATATTAGAATTTTAAAAGTAGTAAAGGATGCAAGCCGGTATATTTTACATCATCTGGCAGACTATTTGGAAAAAACTTCCATTGGGGCCAGGCTATTGCACTGTGTTTTCTTGCATTCTCCTCTGAAGCATCTGGCAATGGTGACTTATACAGATAACTAGACTAGATGACTCACTGGTCTGTTCTAGTATGCAGAAACCTAAGTCTTTAAGATTAATTTTCTGTACAGCACAACCGCTGAATTGGAATTTGAGTGTGAACTTGAAGGAGCAAGATAAACATTTACACAGCAAATTCTGTTGTAGTCCACAGCTTCAAAGCTCTGTACTTACCTGGGGCATAGGAACTCAATGTAAAGAATGCTCATTAATTACAAGAACTCAAGGTAAACAATATTCATTAATCACAGGAACAGCTTGCCCTAAGGTTTTTGCACCTCATTAACATCTCTACCACGTTTCAAGGATGCCTGGTGCCTTTTATAGTAGCTTGGAAATTGTCAGGACCTGGTTAGCTCAAGACTACCCTAGACCCCTTGACATTTAGATGCATTATCAGTTTCACTGATGATGCAGTAAAATGGAGTACTACTAGGTTAGAAAACAGACAGCAGGGCTGGAAGATGCTATGGACTTAAACTGTTTATGCACTTTTATATGCAGCTAATAGGGGCCCCACATGGGTGACTGGTGCCTCCTGAGTCAGGGAGGCACTTGTCCCCGAAGCAACCAGTCAGCTACCGGGGGGTGGGGTGGGGGG